TGGCTCCCTAATCTTTCTTTTCCTCCAGCAGCCGTCACTCCTGGAAGTTAAGGTACAAGAGGTAGCAGTCGTTTTACTGAGTGTTTTGCCCAAAGACCCTATTGTGATTTCAAACAGAATTCTCAATTTTTCACCTTCTGCCTCTGCTTCCATTTCTTGTCCTCTATGCTTTCAAACATGTCCCACCATGTCTCTAATTTCAGCTCTCATGGCCTGGGTTTCTGGGATCTTGACAAGACTGCTTGACCTCAATTGTATCTATTCTTCTGGAAGTCAGCTGCTTGTTGGAGCATAGCCTGTTTCTTCATGCAAAAGAATATGCAGTTCACGGGTGCATTGGATGTATAGAGCTTGCTCACAGCCTGCCTTAACCTGATCATTCCTCAACTAAAACCACACAGAAGACATCCTCTTCATGGCTATCTTTCACAGATTGTTTCCCTTTGGATGTTTTCTGCCTGTCAGTAGCTCTCCTTTCATGTTTTCAGTGACCATTGACCAGCTGTGGTAGTTTCTGCCAAACAGCCCTGCCTGGTTTTTATTTCTTCCTCCTGGATAGATAGGGTATGTGTCTTTTATGTTGTTCTCCAATCCCATAAAGACTGTTTCAGAACCAACAACATATGCACTTCATGACAGGAGATTTGTCTCCATTTATTATTGAATAAAATGCATGTGAATAAGGCCAGAGCCACCCACAGGTGTTCTGAACACAGCTGCTTAATCAGTTGGTTCCAATTTGCAGCTGCAGGTAGCAGTGTTGTCCTCTTCATTTCCGGTCCTCTCATTCTGCCTGATATTCTGAGAAACATCTGGTACTCTTTGGCTAGTCTAGGAAATGGTAATTGCAGGCCTCTGCCTGTGCTGAAACCAACGTCAAGCAAATGAAGAAAAGTTTACTGAACTCGTCTACTCATGTTTTTAATATTTGTGGTATAGCTTACATCTTCATGAATATAGAAGCATTCTTTTGTGGTGGTTGGGTTTTCATATTTTGTTATGAAACAAAATTTTCGAGACAGGGTTTCTCTGTGTAGCTTTGTAGACCAGTCTGGCCTCGAACTCACCTCTAACTGCCTCCCTGGGACTAAAAACATGTACCACCACCACCCAGCTGGTGATTGGGTTTTCTACACTACCACAAAGACGGATTTTGCCAAATCTACATTTTAAATTCATAGTCAATAGTTCTTCACATTCTGGGTTAGAGTGTACATTGGTGACATGCTGGATTTATTCTTTGAGTTCCAAGATGATCAAACAATACTCCCCTGGGAGTCAGAGTGAGCCTGTTTACACCACAGCATAACAGTGAGCACATCTAAGCTCCAACATAGTCCAGATGAGTATCACATAAAGACTTGTAGTTTGCCTAGCCTGACAGTGGCGGTCTCCTAATGGAAAGTCCAGGAATCCTATAGTTGTTCAGTCCATGAGGCTGCCTGTCTCAGCTGGTCATCTTCCACGCTGGAATCCTAGAGAAGTATGCTCTAATATCAGTGAATGAATGCCTTAGCAGCAGGAGTGGGGACACGCAGGCAAAAGGCAAAGCTGCTTTCTCCCATGTCCAGAAGGTGTGGTTCAGATTTAGGGTGGCTCTTCCAACTTCAAATTATCCAATCCAGAAAAGTCCCTCACAGGTGTGCCCGGTTGCTTAGGTTTTAATTCCAGATGTAGTCAAGTTGGCAACCAAAAACAGCCATAATAACATCCACTGTACTTAAGTTTCCAAACTGAGGTTCAGCTGTTTGCCACATGATAGGCTAAGTCAAGAGAGGTAAAGAATGATTATCTGAGAAAGGGGAAGGAGAAGATGGAGGGATCCATGTCCAAAGCCCATCTTCCTTCCTAGGGTCAGCAAGGGCTTTTCAAAGGAGAGAATTAAGGAAGTAGAAGGGCAGAACATTACAAACATGTATTGGAAGTGCAGGTGTCGTGAGAGTTGGCTGTTATCTAGTTCCATTTCATGCATTTTCTTGTTGGTATAGGTAGATTGCCATTTTAAGCTATACATGTTCTTAGTTTAAGCTGTTCTTAGTCCTTATGTGCAAGAATGTATACTTAAGAGTTAAGTTGTTGAGTTCTAGTTAACCTTAGTCTTGAGAGACTGAGAGATAGTCTTTTCAAAACAACTACATTGTTTTCCACATACCTGGGGTAAAAACTCCTAGGTCACATGGCAACTCTAGATAGCATATATTGAGGGAACCATCAAACTATTATCTGGAGTAACTACATCACTTTACAGTGCCACAGGTAATGTAGGAAAAACCCAGATTTTCTGTCTCTTCATCAATGCTAGGTATCATCTGTTATTGTGATCCTAACTACCCCACTGAGTCTGAAGTAGTAACTCATTTTTTATTTGATTTTCGTTTCTCCAATTATTAATGGTGCACAACATTTTTTCATTAACCGTATCTTTAGAGATACTTCTATTCAATCTTAACTCTTTTAATCTTGCTACAGTATGAGAGTTCTTGATTCTGGGTGAGGTACAATAAATATTTTCTCCTATAGTAAAGGTTGTTTTCTTTAAATTTTTATTTTTTGATAGTTTCATATGAGTACTAGATTTAGATCATTTTCCCCCTCCAACTCCTCTCATGTCTCTCCCAATCCCTGTCAAATCCATGGATGCTGCTGCTTTAATTATTGTTTTACACACACACACACACACACGCACGCACGCACGCACGCACACACCCCTGAGTCCATTTATTGTTGCTTGTCTGTATGTGTGATTAGGGCTGACCCATTGGGATTGAGTAATATATTGGAGGGCTCATTCCAGCAGCCATTGGTTGCCTGTAGTCCTTCATCTAGGATTGGGGCCTTAGGAAATTTCCCCCAGCTACTCTGGCATCTTTCATTATGCAGATTTGTGTATGCTGCTGAAGTTTCATGGGTGCAACTTCCCTTTCAAGTCTAGAAGATACTATTTAGCAGCAGATGTCCTGGTCCTCTGGCTCTAACATTTGTCTGTTCTCTTCCAGGAGTTTCCCTGAGCCTTAGATTTAACTGTTGCATTGTGGATGAGTCCGCTGGGATTGGGCACCCTATGACAGTTGTTCAGAGTATTATTTTCCCTTTGTTTTATCTTGGAGCTTTTCTTTGAAAATGTTGATCACAAATGCAGTGGATTATTACAGGCTATCAGTTCTAGTCCATTTATCGATATGTCTGTCCTTATGAAATACCGCACTCTGATGACTAAATTTGTTGTAGATTTTGGAATTGTCTGACTACTGTTTACAGACTCCGGACAATTCTTTCACATACTCCTCTGTTTACCCACAGCTACAGAGATACGGAGCACTTAGGGGGCATGAAAGTGTAAACGAGTTGCTTCTCACTCTTTTATTTGATAATGCAGTTTTCTCGAGTCTGCAAAGACTTTGATCACTCTTTTATATCTCATTAAGCTTTCCATTTCTGGTGCTGTTGCTTGTGAGCTCATATTATTCTGTACACTGTAAAAAGAAAAGGGAACCCTTTATGTTGCTTATATTTTTTTAAAAGTAGTTAAAAAATTTAAAAGCCTAAATAGATATTTTACATGAGTGTCAATATTGTTTTTGGCATTTTTTACATATTACTTTTCCAATTATTTATTCATTTATTTTGGTTTTTTGAGACAGGGTTTCTCTGTGTAGCTTTGGAGGCTGTCCTGTGTTACGATAAATCTTTCCACCAAAAGCTGCTTGAGCCCCACCGCCACATGTAAGCTTTATGCCAGCCGCCCGCCCGAGTTAGGCCCAAATGAATACACAGAGAGACTTGTATTAGTTACAAAGCTGCTTGGCCAATGACTAGGATTCTCATCTGTTAGCTCAGTCTCAATTATCATACATCTATATATTTTATAAGACTTATCTTATCGGACGCCTTATTGGCGTCCCTCCTTGCTGGTGAATCACATCCCGCCACTGGAACAGGAATGGGAAAAGAGAGGACACTTCCTTTTTCCTCTTCTTAAAAATGAGTCTCCTTACTATGTCACTTCCTGCCTGGAACACCACTTCTCTACTACATTTCCCAGAATCCTCTTTGACTCCTAGTCCTGCCTAACTTGCCGTTACATTGGCCAAACAGTATTTTATTTAACAATAAGATAAACATACATAGTACATTTCCCATCAGTCCTGGAACTAGCTCTGCAGACCAGGCTGGCTTCGAACTCACAGAAATCTGCCTGCCTCTGCCTCCTGAGTGCTGGGATTAAAGGCGTGCACCACCAATGCCCTGCCCATATAATTTATTTTGTTCATATTTTTCTTCTTCCCCAACTCCTTCCAGATACTCCCTATTTCCTTATCCACCCTGCTTCATGATCTCTCCCTCTCTCTCCTTCTCAAAAACAAACCCCAAACCAAACCATCACCACCCCCAAAAAACCCCAAACCAAACAAACCAGCACAAAAAAGTAAGTTAAAACAAAAAGAATTTGTATACAAACACACACACACACACACACACACACACACACACACACACAGTTGGCCAACTTCTGGGCATGAGACCTCTCCTGCAGTGTGATGATTGGCGAAAACAGATTTTCCCTTTCTTAGCAAATATTGGTTGCAAATAGCTTCTTGGCTAGGGGCAGGACTTTGTGACCACTTCCCTTCACTGGGACTTTTGTCTGTCTGTCTTGGATTTGTGCAGGTCCTGTGTATGCTGTCACTGTCTGTATGGGACTATATAGGTATTGGTCCTGTAGTGTCTGGATGATCCTGTTTCTGTGGAGACATCCATCATCACTAGCTCATACACTCTGTCCTCCTCTTCTGCATTGATACATTGAAGGGAAGGATTAAATAAAACCATTCCATTTAGATTTGAGCACTCCTAGGTTCCTCATTCTCTGTACATTGTCCAGTTTTGATTCTGGCTTAATTACCATCTACTTCAAGAAGAAGCTTCTCTAAAGAGGGTTGTGTGGTACACACACACACACACACACACACACACACACACACACAGGTCAGTAACTTTCTGTAAGTGTTGTTATAACTGATCATGGTTTGACCTATAAAAGTGCATAAAAAGTGTTCAGAATAGAAACTGGCAAAAATTAGGCACCTAGCAATGTCAACTATGATTTTTATGATTACTTCAGTTAATTTATTAATATTTGTTTTTTCTACTGCCTTTCAGCATTGGTCTTCAATGGAAACACAAGCTGGATGATTATTTCCAGAATTGGATCAAGTGATTATAAACCCTTATGTCTCCAGAAACAATTAAAATCCAGTCAATGTTAACACACACAGTTTTGCTTTGAAGAGTCTTCATTTTGTTTTCTATATAAGCACACTATACAAGTCCCAGATTTTGTTTAGTTCTCCAGTTAAACAAATATACTTGGTTAAGAATTTTCCATTCTCCAAAGGATTGGCAAGCTTTCCAATGTTGGAAGAGTACAAATATAATTTTGTCTATGCCTGTCAATATGCTGGATCTGATCAAGTCACAGATGGAGAGGCAGTCACTGAAAGTGTCAAGGGAATTATGGGTCTATGGGCATTTTGTTTCCATATAGTTCTCAGTGAAGAGCATTCTAGAGGGTTAGTGTCCCGGCTAAGTCCAAGCCTCCCATTTCTTTTTCAGTACAATAGCCTGAGTTTCCTTCTACATGGAGACACCACACATTTTGGAAACAGACCTCTTGTGAAAGCCATCACACATAGACACACATGCAAAGTTTGTCTATCATAACACGCTAGACTGCAGAAAAACCTTTTAGAAATCATTTTATTACTTTTAGAAGGCATAAAGCCCTTAATTTCATAGTGAAAGACTGAGAGTGACTTTCCAGTAGCAGAATTGATAGTTAACATTAGAGGACTGATGTTTTGTTGCAAGAAAGAAAGGAAAAAAAAAAAGAAAAACCCTGATGTATTGTTCTCCATCATCTCCTCCCAAAGAGCTACTCGACCTATGAAACAAACAAATCTCATCATGGGCACAGATAACCCCAGGCTTCAGTCTGTAATCTGACTGTGGCCATCAGCAACCAGAAATGAGTTTTTTCTAATCAGCTCTCCATCAGTCCCCAGTCCCTCATATAAAGGAACACAGGGAGGGAGGAAGCACACTGCTCTTCAGCACCAGGGTTCTGGACAGCGCCCCGAGCAGGCGGCTGTCACTGGCCTCTTCCTCCTCCATCTCTGCCAAGGCTACCCCTCTGATCTCCCCTGCTGCTGAGAAAGAAAATTACATCGGGATCCATGCAGCCGGCAATGATGATGTTTTCCAGTAAATACTGGGCCAGGAGAGGGTTGTCCCTGGATTCAGCAGTGCCCGAAGAGCATCAGCTAGTTGGCAGCCTAACAGTGAGTATCTGGCACTCTCCAGTGTTCTCTAGGGCAGCAATTGTCTTAACCTCACCATATGGACACTTGCTGTAGAGTAAGCATGCAGTTCAACTCCCTCCTCTGTGGTCTTGTCTCACTACCTCCCTTCTGTCTGCCTTAGCTCTCCACCAAGGAAAGCAGGTGGGAGAATTGCTGGGAGATAAACTTCCCTAAAAGAGAAAATGAAGTTCTCTGTCCTGAAGAATGAAAGATTATGTGAGCCAATGTCCTAAATTCACTCCTCCCTCGAAGTATAGAACATTGAAATTGAAAGGTTGATAAGAAAGATTTGGGAGAAAGAATTATGTTTCTATGGTTTCTACAAGACAGTGCTGTTTCCTATATCCCCCTCAAAACTTGTCTTTAAACACAGAATGTGTGCAGGTTTTGGAATAAAAGAGGAACCATTGCCCTTCAGAAGGTTTCCTGCATGCCACATTACCTCCTCCCTTAAAGTTTAATTGATGGAATAATGAAAAATACTCCAGTATTTTCTGCAACATATTCTTCTACTTAAAATATTGACATTAAAGAACAGTATTTGTAAAGCTAGAGTTCTTGCAAAGGTTTAGATCCTAATTTGAGCAATAGTCATGAGAGTTAATAAAAAAGTACTCTTGTTTTACTAACATGAAATAAAAAATATATCCAGGCTTCTGTCGTTAAAATTTTTAGGGGATGCTTCATTATTGTATTTCCTGTTTATCAACAGATTCCAAATTCAGCTTGTCAGAGGAAAAAAAATCAAGTTTAATGCCTTAGTTCCAAATATGTGCATTCTACTTATTACTACACAAATGTTGAAAAATAGTTCCAGTAACTTTCTTAGCACTATTTAAATCAATTTGTGAAAATGAGGCCAAAATGTAAAATAGATTTCCTAGCACTCAAGTATCATGAATATTTGGATGAGATGTTAAATTGAGGAATTCGGAAGTTAGACTGCTAGGAGGAAAGCACACACACACACACACACACACACACACACACACACACACCCCTTAGTTATGGGTAATGTATGACCCTTTCACATAAAAATGCTCCTTAGACATATGAGATCTGGGGATTGTGTGGAGAAGCTGAAGCAGATGTTGAGACTATGAAGGCATTTGAGCTTTTAATGACTAAACATACTGTCAAATGCCAATGTCGGCATAAACTTCTCTCCCTCAAGTCATAAATAATAAAATATCCATTCCTATTACATATAGGAATGTAATTCAGCGAGCGAGGCAATCTTAATGCGTGAAAATAAAGCCAGTAGAGAAATTGAAGGAAGATAACGGCAAATCACTTTTCACTGGGGTACATATAAATGTGTGGGTCTCAGTTCCTTGAGGATGTAGTAGACTGGTGTGATTATGTTATCCCACCATTAGCCAGGGAGACAGTTCTTTGTTTGCCCAACTCTGCATTCATATGTAATGAGTACAAAACAGACCATCATCATTTTACATTGTCTGTCGAATGAAAAGTTCCCAGCTTTGTTTCTCCAATTCTGTGATGCATTATGAATTGCTAGAGTCTGTTATTCTCATCTTTAGCCAGAAGAACTTAATTATCACTCAGATTCTCTGGTTTGTTCCTAATGATTAGCTAGCTGGGTCTTTTTCTTCTTCTGCCATTCCAACTGCCTGTTCTGTTTGTGACTGAAATGTACTAGTCACTTTCCAGAATCAATTTTCCACAGAGGGATTTGTTGGGCACACTGTTATGTCATGGACTTCCTCAGTGGACAGGAAGGTTCAGATTCATGGTTTGTGATGGCAATGTGGATCTCAATGGAGAAATTATCCTTTCCCATCCCTGACGTGTTCAGAGTGCAATAAATACTTTTGTTTTAGAGACCTCATGGAAGCTACATTTGCTCTTGTCAAAACTATGTTTGTTCTTAGGTTTGGTGCATTAACTAATGAAATATAGTTTACAGATGAACCAACTAAGATAAAAGATCAGATTTCATGCTGCAAAATTAGCCTGAAAAGAAAGGCAGGAATTGTCCACATATATTACTTTATGCTTTCTCAGCGGTTCTCAGCCTGTGGGTCATGACCCCCTCTGCGGTTTGGGGTCAAACAAACCTTTCACAGGAGTTGCCTGAGACAATCAGAAATATCAGATATTTATTTCACAATTTACAACAGTAGCAAAATTACAGTTATGAAGTAGCAATGGTAATAATTCTATGATTTGGGGTCAGCGCAACATGAACTGTTTTAAAGGATCATAGCATTAGGAAGGTTGAAAAATCTCTGTACTTAATGATAATCACGTTTTTGTCACCTTCAAACTAGAGGAAACCTGATGTTCCTTTAAGTTAATTCTCTATTCACTGCCCTGAAATAGTGCAAAGAGTATCTCAGCATCAATTAGACTAGTATTTCAGATAGTTGAGCGCCACAGCGACTCCACTTTGAGCTTGTAGGATGGGTGGGGCTTCCAGCATTCCAGTGGAATCTCTAGACCAATAAAATTATGGAAACCTCTGGAACCTAACTGATTTTTGTGCTTCGACTTTCTTGAAGCTAAATAAAGCTAATGCTGGCAAAAATGAGGACAAGAAAGGAAGCAAAGAGAGCAGCAGCAGCGACACTACAGAGAGTGGCAAGACAGCAGTTGTGTTCTCTCTGAAGAATGAAGTTGGCGGGCTGGTGAAAGCACTGAGACTCTTTCAGGTAAAGGCATAATGCCCTTATTGACTGTAGGTGCCTGTGTGCCTGGCTACAGACCTGTCGTCTGCTCTGAAGGCATTCCCGAATCTGTTTCTGGATGATCTCTGGGAAAGATTCAAAGGAACAAGGCTTTTCAAGGGGAGTTTGTTCTGCCCAACAGTGACATAAACAGGTTCAAGTGAACTGTGATTCATTAATTCAGTTAGCCCATTAGGAACCTTGTACATTGTTGCCAGGTAAGAAAGTCCGTAATTCAGAAATGTGAGCTTTTCAGTTGAGCATGCAAACACACACACACACACGAATGCACGCATGCACGCACGCATGCACGCTCATACCCAGGGTGTTTCGAAATATCAAGCATCTTTCCCCTGATTTAATTTACTAAATTTGAACTGTACTGGTGTAATGAGAGCATATTTATTGCATAAAGTGAGATACATGAACAAGCCACTTCCTTAATAATGTGTTATGTAAAGCTGAATTCCTGTCCATACATATACATACATACATACATACATACATATATAATGAAGGAGTATCTTATAGAAGGTATGACATAGTCTCTGGCATAAATCCTTGTGTTAGTCCTAAACACAGAGCTTGGGTGAAGAGTAATGCCTTGTACACCTGATGTTTCCTCTACATTAAGTAAAAACAAAAACAAAAACCTTACAAATGGGTTTTGTTGGGTGCAACAGCTGGTAGGCAGAGTTGGGAGATGAAGAATTTGACTCTTCCTGCTGCCTTGGGCTGTTGTATAGTAGATTTGGACCTGTGCTAGGCTTGGTTGGCTAACCATTACCTGCCCCCCAGTTCAATTTCCTCATTTGTAAAATGGCAATAATAATAATTCCTACCTAACTGGGTTGTTGGGATGAAATAATATGAGAGTGTTTTGTTAAATGCAGACAGGAGGCATCATTTGTGGTGCCTCTAGATGATCAGATATGGGGAATTAACCTGATTCAGAATATGTTTCCTCATACCCTTCTGGCCTTGAAGAAAGGATCAGGTACCATAAACAGTATTAATGGAAATCTGGAGTAGTATTTTATATATAATTATGCCATGCAGAGCTGTGTCCATACAATGCCCAAAGGCAAGCCAATTCAATTAGACACCTGGGTACAGTGGAAAAATCCCTGGAGAAGGGGCTTGCACTTTGAGTTTGCACTCTGCCATCATCTAGTCACCGGACCTTAGATAAACCCCTTAACCCATTGGGACCTCAGTGCCCTGGTGTAAAAATATCTGGACTGATTCAACCAAACATTAAAATCCCAAAGTGACACAATGAATGTGGAGTCTCTTGGGCATTGAACTTAATATTAACCCCACTTTCATTATATTAGCCAATTTATAAAATATAGCATTATTGAAAGGCTTAATAGAAAGAGAACTAGGCTTGTATCCCGAACTGTGCTGAAATCCAGAGTGCAGCCCCTGATGGGATGGGGAGCTGTGTGCTTATGGCAGGGCATGGAGAGAAGACCTGAATCTATAATCCACAAAGGAGAAAGGCATACCAACAGGAAACTTAAACCACGTTTTTTAAAAGATTTATTTATTATGTGTACAGTGTTTGGCACCAAATCTCATTACAGATGGTTGTGAGCCACCATGTGGTTGCTGGGAATTGAACTCAGGACCTTTGAAAGAGCAGGCAGTGCTCTTAACCAGTGGGCTGTCTCTCCAGCCCCCTAAACCACATTTTAAGCATGAAAGTTCCTGTTCTTCCTGGAATAGCCTGTTCTAACAAGACTCACAAAATGACAGAATATAAAGCTAGCCTGGCGGATGCCAAAGAGTGTCACTATGTGGTCCTATTTAGGGGGTATTATTACTGTTTTCTGCCTCTTCACTGCACTTGAGTTGTTTTCCTTTTGCCTGGGAGATGCTCTCATGCGTGCTTTTCTTGTTTCCCTAAAATTTGGGCTATGCTTTGATCATTATTTTCCAAAACTTAGGCATTTTTGCACACCCTCTGTTTTCTGCCTGTCATTTTTATTATTCACTTTTTTAAAAAAAGAGTTGCTTTATTTTTTATTTTTAAATTATTGTCATATGTAAAAAACATCTTGCTGTGTAGCCTAGAGGAATTTCCAACCTCCTTGCCTCTGCCATCCGAGTGTTGGCATTTTAGGCATGAGCTATCATGTCTGACGCTATATGATTGCTTTATTCTTAAACTTTACTTAAAGATAAGCCTTTTATGATTGTAAGATTGAGACATGGCATTTTGTGTTTTTCAAGAGTATGGAAATACAAATTTTAGGATATTACATTATGGTAATGTAATAGGCAAGCCTAATCTCCTTGTCAATCCTCAATCAGTAGCTGTGGGATGTGGGCCCCTCTAAGAAACCAGGCATGCAACCAGGATATATTTTATAGTGTCTTTTATATGTTTTCAGTGCCCTCCCCTTTTTATTATGAGAGAGGACAACCTACATGGTGGTATGGCAACTAGTCTCCTTTATTAATAAAAACAGTAGCAGGAAAAGCTCTCATGTATTAATCAACTGAAGCATAGTCAGTACTCTTCTGTAGGTACTTGACCCTTCACCTCTGATAACTGCACAAGACTAGCATTTCATTCACTATGACCAGAGATATTATTACTCATGTTTCCACAGGAAAAACATGTCAACATGGTTCACATCGAATCCAGGAGATCCCGGCGAAGAAGTTCTGAAGTTGAGATCTTCGTGGACTGTGAATGTGGCAAGACAGAATTCAACGAGCTCATCCAGTTGCTTAAATTTCAGACCAGCATTGTGACGCTGAATCCGCCCGAGAACATTTGGACAGAGGAAGAAGGCAAGGGTGTTTGTTTGTTGTGAGATTTTTTCAATCTGACAAAAGTTGCAAAGGGGAAAAAGTGCAACCTATGAGCTAATGTTACTGAACCTGCCCTGTTTTCAACAGAACTGGAGGATGTGCTGTGGTTCCCTCGGAAGATCTCTGAGTTAGACAGGTGCTCTCACAGAGTTCTCATGTATGGCACCGAGCTTGATGCTGACCACCCAGTAAGTATCTAGCAGAATCCCTTTCACCTGTCCTCTCTAAGCCATGCCACATTCCAGATGCTGTGCTGTGTTCTGTGCCATAATGCTTCATTGAAGAGCAATTTTATATCTCTCCCCCACAACTGAGAGCAGACTTTTAGATGATTAAGTTTCCCTGTACACGTGTTGGCCGGAAGGAGGTTAGAAAGATGGCATTTTCACATAGAGTTTATTTATAAAATGGTTGGGTAGAGGAGGAGATTGTATGCCCTGGAGAGTATTCCTGTGGAATTAGACAGCCTAAAATATACTTGCAGATGGTGACCCCTGGAAGAACGAGGAACTGAAATTGATCACACCTTTGGGAAACTAGGGAGGACTAGATGTGATGGGGCTCGGAGAGAGAATAAAATTCCTGCCATTTTCCTTGACTGGAGGTAGTTAAGAGTAGAGTTATGTGCTTGACTTCAGTCTCAATGGAAAGGCAGAAGGGTTTTAAAATAAGGCTGTGATGGAAGAGGCATCCCTTCCCACATCTTCTCCACATCCATCTACCACCATTTCCTCCTCTACTCCAATAAAAGTGACCATCTTCAGAGAAATATGACACCTGGGTAAGCATTTCCCATTTTTCTCCCCCGCCCCATTTTATATCAGTTTTTTATTTAACACAAGAGATCTGGAACTTCTTTATGGCCAGAATGCAGTACAGTGAGGTAAGCAATATACACATTCATTATGAGCATTTCCCCTCCCCCAGCATCTAGAAGTGGATACACAGAACACCGAAATCTAGGCAGATCCGTCATGCTTAGTAGAAGCCTTTGTGTTATGAGGGACATGGCTTACAGAAACTCACCCTATTTCAATGGAGAAAAATCTGAGAATGCGATTGTATCACTGTGCCCTGAATAGTGGAACCTAAGTGTGAGCATAGGACTGCAGCATCAACAGCATCTGGAACCTTGCTTTAAACAGTCCATGTTTCTTCAGTTCAGGATCCACGACAAGTTCAACATGAACAAAATTTCATTCAAAGTAGTCTTTTGGCATAGTATACCAATTCAAACCAATTCAAATATACCGTTCAAATAAATACTGTTCAACACACCTAATAGTATTTCATTATTTGTAAAAAGCTGAAATAACACAGACACAGTGTGTTGTATTTGCAGCATAGCATAAAAAAATCACAGTCATTCATGCCGCAGCAACAGAAAACTCGTTAAACAGTGACTTTAGTAATCTTTGCTGAAGACTTTAGTTGTTGCCCCTCTCTCTCAGTCGAGCTGGAATGAGTGCAAGCTGATTTAAACAATTAGGAGGATGGAGGCTGCACGGATGCCAGCTGCTAATTTGCAGAGTGACCTTGATCAAGATTGCACAATGCCAGATGCTAACTTGCAGAGTGACCTTGGCGAGGTCCTCATACCTCTGCCTCTTAGGGTTTTTTAATGTAAAAAGTGGAAATACAAATTCTTATTGACCTCAAAGGGGTATTTGAAAAGCTCAGTTAATAAAGCAACTGAAAGGCAATTTGGCAACAGGAAGTGCTTAAATGCTGTATTAAACCATCCAGATCAATATGTAGACAGCAGAGGCACTTTGGAGAACCTCCCATTCCTCCCTTAGTGACGTTTTAAAAATTACTTAACCTGGAGGAAGAAGTACAGCCATTTGACCAAAACCACCACAGGAGCTGCTGACCTTGCTGTGAACAAAATGTATTCCAACATCAAGAGTAAATTTTTTCTGTGCTTAATTTTATTCCATTATTCCCAATTACACCTGCTTTATGATACCTTCACTTATTTTCTGTGCAGCCACTTGAAATAATTGCAAGTACTTAGCAATTCCCTACGTCTCTTGTCATTTTAAAACCACGTATCTTCACTTTCATAAGCACACCAAATGTTTATTATGCAAAATCTGATATTGGTAAGTTGGTGCTTTTGTGAGCTTTTATTTGATGTGGATGGGCCAGTTGTCTAAGCACTTTTTACATCTGAGAATGATTAGTGGCGAGAGAATGATTACAGTTCTAGGACAGACACAGGGATTCTTGCCATAGGACTGTTCAGGGAGGGCTTGGAATATAAATCATGCTGTGTTGTGCAATATGATTTTAACTAGGCAAAGATGTGTTACATTTGTTTATGCTGCAGAATATTACTTTAACAGTGTGAAGGTGTGTTACTTTTGTTTAATGATGTAAGGATGTGTGTTTAATTTTGTAAAGATGTGTTGCATCTGTTTCACCTTCCCTGCCTTAAGGCACCTGATTGGTCTGATAAAGAGCTGAACAGCTTATATCAAGGCAGGAGAAAGGATAGGTGGGGCTGGCAGGCAGAGAGTATAAATAGGAGGAGAATGCTAGGCTTGAAAAGAAGCAAAGGAAGGAAAGAATGAGGGACATGCCCGGGGCAAGAAGCCAGGCAGGTACCAGACAGAGAAACAGTGAAATTAAGACATACAGAAGTAAGAAAGGTAATAAACCCCAAGGCAAAAAGGTAGATAAAGAGAAACAAGTTAATTTAAGTTAAGAGAGCTAGCCAGAAGCATGCTTAAGCTAGGCTGGGCATTCAAATCTAGTAATAAGTCTCCTCATCGTGGTTGGAGAGCTGGTTGGTGGCCCAAAAGCAGAAGCTTGCTGCAGTGTTGCTTTTATAGTGTTAAATATATGGGCCCATGGCTCTCAAATTTTAATAGACAAAGAAATTGGGAAATACAGTGATTCCCAAGGGTATAAGAGTGTATTTCTTGAGAGCTCCCTGTTGAGGTTCACACTGGGGGATATAGGTCTATGTTTTTGACTTGCCAGGGCTTAGAACTTGGAAGGGGGTCTTCCAAGGTGTGGTTCAAGGTCCACTCTTCAGATAGAAAAAAAAAGAAAGAAAGAGAAAGGAAGAAGGAAAGAAAGAAGGGAACCTCAAGATGCTCCCTGGGAGCCCAGGGAAGGAGGCTTTCCGGCATGGAGAAAGGTCTGTAGAAGATTCTGGTTGCTCAAACGGTGAGAATTAATGTCCTAGCTGAGTGCTCCACCAGAGTGTCCCACTTCAATCATCTGAGGGGAAGTTAAAAATTATGTCCTCACTCTTCAGAGCTTAAATCAGAACCTCTGGGGGAAAGGGCCAGGTTTGAAGTGTTATTAAAATTTCCTAAATGGTTCTCGTATCACACCCGGTTGAGCTGTTTGAGATGTCTACTTGAGTGGCAGCATAAATTGAATTGGGCACATTAGGGTTCACTTTTATTTAATTTGGGGGTACAGGAGGCTCTCTCTGGGTGCCAGGGTCACCAGACTTTTACAAATAAATATGTAAAGTTGCCCAGTAAAATTGGAAAAATTTGTTGTTTATCTGAAATTAAAATTATATCTGGGCATCTTGTATTTTTATCTGGTACCCTATCCCTGGCTTCAGATCAGAATGGGTGGCCAAAAAATGCTGTGTGTCTGGAATGGCTGGTTCAGCTAGCTAGCACCTTTTACTTTGCCAGTCCTTGGATGAATCCAGGGAGCTCTGGATCCCCCATGACATTTTTGTAATCACTGACACTCTAGGCTAATGAGGCATGATGAGCGAATCTCGAGTCCCTGGAAAAAGGTGCAGGTGTTTGCTGAGGAGAGAGTTGAGATTCTTCTGGAAGCCAGCAGATTATGATGCAGTTGCCATGGTGTCCAGCCTGGCAGGAATCAGGGGACAGATGCTATGCTTTTCATGGAACTCTTTCCCATTTTCATGGCCTATTTTCATTTTGAAGCATAAATGTGCTTGGGATTCTTTAGCTTCCCCACCCCAGGTAGCCTGTTTTACTAGTGGGTGAAGAGCCCACTTTCTAGCTCTCTCTCTCTACCCTCTAGAGCAGGAGAGTCATTTGTAAATGTGGTAACTATGGTCACCAGCTTTGCCTATAGGCATTTTAGGGTTTTGCAAGCCTGCCTAAGAGCCTTTGGTTTAAACTATCTGAATTCTAAATTCAAGGATTGGGAAATGCAGGCTACTGTGTGTGGGTGACCTCATTTTTACCAGGCTTTAGAGTGATCTGAGGAGGTGTTTCTCTCCCTCCTCCATTACTCTTTGCTTTTTCCAAAAAAGAAAGGTGATTCTTTAGTTATATCTAGCACACAGCCCCATGGAGATTTCTGATTTTGAGATCCGTTTTCTTTCAGGTAGACAAGAGAACTGGGCTGTTGTTATTTATTATTATTATTATTATTATTATTATTATTATTATTATTATTATTATTTTAGTGAGTCTACACTCTTGCTTGTCCCCTGTGGTTCGTGGCTTCTGAGAAGCCCACTGATTTGAGGAGAGATGGTTAAGCCAGGAAGTCCTTTCAGGAGTCCAAGTGACTGAAAGGTGACACTCAATATTTATTTTCCCAAGTGGATTAGGGTAGATAAAAGTATTTTTTAAATTATTTTATGGTTTAGATAAAAATCTTGCAATTGGCTAAGACACATTGACTGAGAATCCCTTAGTGGGATGAATGGATCTAGCCTGCCCTTAGCGCTTGGGGTTCTTTCTAGTGTTGCATGGTGTGGTCATAAACACAGCAAAACCTCTTTAATTCACGCTAATTTGGGGATTTGATAATTACTCGGAGTGACTGAGTCTTTAATAAATGTTATATTTATTAGTTGTTTACACACAGTAATTAAAATTTGGTTAAACAAGTTACACCTGTTTTAATGACTAGGCTAAGATTAACTTGTTAAGATCAATTACTTGTAAATGATACTTGAAAACCTAAAGAATAGTGTGCAAAATAATAATTTACCTAGCTAAGCCATGCTGCTTGCCCAGTGGAAAGGTAAACTCTGGCCTGAATTCTCACACATCCCAAATTAGTAGATTCAAGTTGAAAGAGCTTTTACTGTAAGCACAATCGCTTTTGCCTGTGTCATCCAGTAGGTCATCTGAGGATAAGATTTACATTTGAACGGAACACTCAATAAACACCACAGTGATTTTCTTTTAGGCATGCTGCAGCTAATTTTTCCGGCACTTTGTTAAAAGACTTAATCTCTTTTCTCTTTAAGGGATTTAAGGACAATGTCTATCGACAGAGGAGGAAGTATTTTGTGGACGTAGCCATGGGTTATAAATAGTAAGTAACTGTATAACTCTTCCTTGTCAAAGGCTAGTTAAGAAAAACACGTGCTGGAGAGATGGTTCAGTGGTTAAGAACACTGGTTGCTCTTCAAGAGGACAGGGTTCAATTCCCAGCACCCACATGGCAGCTCACAACTGTCTGTATCTCCAAGATCTGACACCCTCACACAGACATACATGCAGGCAAAATACCGATGCAAATAAAATAAAAATAAAATTATATATAAGAAAGAAAAACACGTGCTGTGTCACACACTGCTGTCTTCACTTTAACTCTTGCAGTAGAGAGACAGAAACCATTTAAAACATTTCCAACTCCCTCGGCTTTAAATGCCAATTTTGACATCTGGGTATCATTGTGACATAATGAGACCCATGGGCCACATGCCAAATGCTACATTGACACCACTGTATTTGTAGCTCCATTCGGGCAAGGACCTATTTTGATTTGCTCTGCTAGGCTTGAACAAAACTCTGCTCTTGTTTTCCTTTGTAACTCATTTCAGTGTCTGATTTTCTCCATGAAAGGAGAGAATTGGGCAAAAATAGGCAAAGGAATCCTGCAAACAGCCAGCATAGAATTAAAATGTGCTTGCTTTACATGGAAAAGAAACTATCTTACAACTCTGGATGGCTCATGGAGGAGTTTAATAAACAGGAACAACAGGGTTGGGATGAAGTTGGAGTGAGTACTGTCTGGCAAATGGTGGTCAGTGGTAGTGACGGGCTGAGTGTGTGACTGGCAGCGATGTGTGCATGTTTACTTGGAAAAACAGAAGGGGTGTTAGGCTTTTGTTCATGCTGTTCTCACCGGGTTAACTCTCAGACTACTGCTTTTCTTTTTCTGGTCTGTGATCAATATAAAGTTTGTCTTCTGAACAAAGTGTAAATTCATATCTGGTAGGAGAAAGTTTTTTTTCTTTATGTTAGTTGAGATTAGTTAAGGAGTTTAGCTGACTTCAGAGGCAAATTTGTCATTGGTGAGGATTTAGGATGTCATGCGTACTTTAGAGGGTATCTGTGTTGGCTGCTTTCTTTCTCTTTTTTTTTCTCATTTCTTCTGCTCTTATCCTCTCTTCTTTCTTTTTTCTCTCATTGGGAAAATAATTTGTTCAATCATAACTTTCTTTCATACTCTGAAACATGTGGCTCCCAACTCCTTAGGCCCAGGCAATCTCCATCCCTTTCCCATCATGTTTATAAAAAAAAAAAAAAAAACAAACATATTTATAAGAACTAGAACTGCATGACACATTTTTTCTGTTGTAGAATATTATTTTAAGGTGTGTTACTTTTGTAACTGTGCTGGAACATTTGTTTAATGATGCAAAGATGTGTTTGATTAAATAAAATTCACCTGCGGTCAGGAGGCTGGGTCAGCAACTAGCTGACAAGAAGTTGTAGGGAGGAGCCAGGTGGAGAAGGCTCACAAGGACTTCTTGGGAGACACGAGGAGGTGAGCTAGGTGAGCTGCTTGCTACTCAGCCTCTCTGGGAAGCAGGATTCTACCTCAACCTTTGAGTATTGAGTTCTTTAGTGTGACAGATTTAAATAAGTTTCCTTAGTAGCTTTGAAAAAATCGGTGTCTGAGAGAACAGAATTCCCTCAGGCTTCGGCTCTTGAGGCCTAGCTGCTGCTGGTAGCAGCGGGGTTGTAGTTGCTGAAGATGATAGCTGTAGATTAAAAGGCAGCAACAACTAAGACAGTAAAACATTTTTCTACATTATGTACTCTGTGCCAGGCAGTGTCTTGCCCGACGCTGTGACTTTCTACATCAACATATGACTTGCCATGGCCCAAGCTCAGTCTCATGCTCCCAGTTGCCCTGCCATTGTTGTCTAACCCTATGTCCCAGAGTGTTAGTCAGATAGCCTAGCTGGGAGAGGACCCTGATGGACTGAGGGCCAAGTTCAGAGGAAGCCCCAGTAAGTGGTGGTGGCCTTCAGTTGGGCATTCTCTGGCTTGTAGACTGCCTATGGGATAGGATCACATGATCTGTCCAGGAGATGGTCCAAGCTCAATGCTGGGCAGTCTAAAAAACATTGTCTTCAACGGGCACTGCACACACATGGCACACAGACATAGACAGGCAAAATAACTATGTATATAAAGCAAAAAAAAAATCTAGAGAAAAATATTTTACAATAGATGCCATGTGTAATATTATATATATGTGTATCTATTATACACATATGACTTAAATACAGCATTTTGTAGGCATAATGACTAAAGGGTTAGTTTAAATGTTACCTCCTGTTTGAAGAGCTCAGATATGGGCAAAGACAAACTGATTTTGGTGGCCATATGTCCCAAGGAGTACTGATAATGGAGACATTGGCTTGAAGGAAGTGTATTTATATGGAGAGGAGAGGTGGTGGGTGGGTGAGGTGGTCAAAGCGTTCACAACTTTTTTGCTTCTGCTGCTCCCATAGCTAAAGGATGACACTGGTCTGTGTCTAAAGTAGAACTTGGAGTCTGGAGCAGGTGGAGCTTTCATGGTGAATGGAGAAGGACTGGGCAAACTGGGTCATCTCAGAACCTAGTATGAGTCTGGAGTACTGGGTGAACAGTTCAGGCTCAAGGGACTCAATGCTTATGACTGAGCTAGCCTGGAAGCTGCCATCTCACCGCTTTTCAGAGACCAATCTCTTAGAACCCTCTCTGCTGTTCCAGGGGATCAGAGGGGCTCTTTTCTCCTTTGGCAGGGTTGGGGGAGGTCATGTTGTGTCTGAGCACTGTTTGGTAAAGTAGTGTGCCAATCCAGGAGTGCTTACCCCAGAGTGTTTGTAATCCAGGAATGTCAAAACCTGCTCCTGGGACTGTGCCGAGGCTAGACTGTGTGGGCATAGTAACAAGGTGTTGTGAAACTGGAGCAGTCTGGGATGGAGAGCTGGCTCTAATGTCTCCTCAAGTCCCTGTGTCTTTGCAGTGTATCTATCAGAAGGGCTCATCTGACAGAGGGGGTAGTAGGGATGTAAAAAGAGGTTGTATGCTTGGCATCACGCCTGGACCCTGATCAGGGCTCAGTTGTGTCAGTTGTTATTACTGTCTTCCTGCTATGCTTTGCTTGCTCATTAAGATACTGTTGGGTAAACTTATTATTTTTGTGCTGACAACAGTCCTTTTCATGGAGGGATTTCATAAAAAGAGATTATACTCCCATTTTTCATGTGTGAAAGAAGCTGTCAAGATACTGGTAACAAATTGGCAGTTGTCGTGAGTGCTGCTTGTGAATGGATAGAGTAAAGAAGTTACTTATGAGTTGTTAAACCAGGAGAACATGACCCCAGGACTTGTGCAAAGTAGAGAGTAAAAGATTTCACTTTAATACTGCATTTCCTTATATTAGTACAGTCAAGGTTTGTGTGAGTTTGAGGATGGGTACAGGGTAGCCCACTCGTGCATATTTAAGCTGGTGTGTGTATATGCATGTGAGCACATGCTCACGTGTGTCTGTGTTTATAAGTACATGCTTTTGGGCTCCCACGATTTCAAAGCCAGAAAGAAGAGGGCTATAGATACTAAGAAATTCTAAAGGGACCTAAGATTCCTTTTTTGTTTATGGGAAATGAAGATTCAATTTCTCATTGGGCTAGGTGGTTTCTCGTGCTGATGCCTTTGCGGGTGTGCAGTGTTGAAATGAAAGAATACTCCAATTACTTAGAACAAGCTCCTTTTAGTGTACTTTGACCGAATTTCCCAAGCCCAAAGTGGGGAGTGCTGGCCTAAGGACCAGAATATTTGAAATTGGGATAATATTGAAAATTCAGCCTTTGAAATGCCTGCCAATAATAGTTGGACATGATTAGGACCTTTGGGGGTAGGGTGGAGATGGGGAAATACTGGTCAAGGGGGACGTTTCTGATTGACATAAGGAACAAAGGAAAAGCACCCAAACATGACTTAGAGTATTGTGTTGTACCTCATAAACAAACACAATTATATTTTCTCAATATCCAATTAAAAATAAAAATAGGTACTGTCGACATGGGGAGATTTTTTTTTTTTTTTTTTTGCTGTTGGTGATTTAGGCTGGGCCTCCTGGACACTTGGCAGTGGTGGTAGGTACATGCTCAGGAACATCGCAAGAGATGGAGTACTACAGGTGTTTTGAGGTTGCTGAAGGGATTGCAGGTTGCAGTCGGAGGGGGTCTCACGTAAGGAGAAAGAGAAATGAGATACAGAACAATATCTATTGAAACCACAACCCAAGAAGCCCTCTGGGGATTTGTGTAGAGTACTATATATTTTTTTTTTTATGATAGTCTTGAAAGGATAAAACAAGGGGAGGGGGTGGAATCAACACAAGTAGAGAAAAATGAAAAAATTCCACTCTATGATGAAAAAACAGCAGGCTCAAAGTCCATATTACCGTGAACTCCAAAGAGGTGAGGGAGCGGAAAAGCGCCTCATGCTGGGAACTGTCAATAGATGCCACTCAGGCACAGTTCTGATTGACAGTGCAGCTGAGAAAGTTGATTGATTACCCAGAGGCCCGCAGCTGCCTGCAGACAGGCCCCTCTGCTCAGTGTCTGCAAGGCTTAATTGCCTCACCAATAATAGCATAGGAAACAGTCATTAGTACAAGCGGTACTCCTCTTGGCAGATCTGCAAATGAACACCCAGCCCGGGGAGGGCACTGTACTAGCCTCTGACTTGCAGATCAGACCCTGTCCTCGACAACTCAGAGAAATCTAGTATAAAATGAGGACTGTCCCGCAGTGAGGTGATGGGAGCGTAGACTTGTATTTCCCAGGAAATGGAAGTGTGTGTGCAGAGGCAGACTGCATGGAGAGGAAGAAAAAGAGGGTGGCTTTGGTGGTGCAACCCCCAGGGGAGTCGGAACCTCTAGGTTTTCTGTGCTTGGCGACTTTATGTTTAACCCAGCTGAATTTCTGCACTAAATTGTTGGGGAGCTAGATTAGGAAAGAAATCAGTAATACAGTTTTTTATTTTTTTAAAAATTAACCAGCCAATACATTTTCCCCCTTGGAG